ACACTGGGGAAAAGCCATTTAAATGCCTGGAGTGTGGAAAGACCTTTACTCGAAATAGTACTCTTCTTTGCCATAAGATGATCCACACTGGGGAGAAGCCGTATAAATGCATGGAGTGTGGAAAGACCTTCACTCAAAATGGTCATCTTATTTCCCATAAGGTGATCCACACAGGGGAGAGGCCATATAAATGTATGGAGTGTGGAAAGACCTTCGCTCGCAAAGGTCATCTTATTTCCCATAAGGTGATCCACACAGGGGAGAAGCCGTATAAATGCACGGAGTGTGGAAAGACCTTCACTCGCAAAGGTCATCTTATTTCCCATAAGGTGATCCACAAAGGGGAGAGGCCATATAAATGCATGGAGTGTGGAAAGACCTTTACTAAGAGCAACATTCTTACTTCCCATAGAAGGACCCACACTGGGGAGAAACCATATAAATGCATGGAGTGTGGAATGACCTTTGCTCATAATAATGGACTTACTACCCACAAAATGATCCACACAGGGGAGAGGCCGTATAAATGTATGGAGTGTGGAAAGACCTTTGCTCTCAGCAGTAAACTTGAAATTCACAAAAAGATCCACACACGAGAAAAGCCATATAAATGCATGGAGTGCGGAAAGACCTTTGCTCTCAGCAGTAAACTTGAAATTCACAAAAAGTTCCATACTGGAGAAAAGCCATTTAAATGCCTGGAGTGTGGGAAGACCTTTGCTCTCAGCAGTAGACTTGGTATTCACAAAAAGATTCACACAGGTGAAAAGCCATATAAATGCATGGAGTGTGGAAAGTCCTTTACTCAAAAAGGTAATCTTATTTCCCACAAAATGATCCACACAGGGGAGAGGCCATATAAATGCATGGAGTGTGGAAAGACCTTTACTCAAAAAGTTAATCTTATTTCCCATAAGAAGATCCATACAGGAGAAAAGCCATTTAAATGCCTGGAGTGTGGAAAGACCTTTGCTGTCAGCAGTAGACTTGGTGTTCACAAAAAGATTCACACAGGAGAAAAGCCATATAAGTGCCTGGAATGTGGAAAGGCCTTTGTTCAGAGCAGTCACCTCAGAAAGCACAAAAGGATCCACACTGGGGAAAACCATATAAATGCATGGTGTATGGAAAGACCTTTGCTCTGAGCAGTAGACTTGGTACTCACAAAAAGATTCACACAGGAGAAAAGCCATTTAAATGCATGGAGTGTGGAAAGACCTTTTCTCAAAGCCGTTACCTTGCTTCCCATAAAAAGATCCACTCGGGAGAGAAACCATTTAAATGCATAGAGTGTAGAAAGATGTTTACTCAGAGGAGTGGACTTAGAAGCCACATAAAGATCCACAGTGGAAAAAACATAAATGCATGAATTTTGGAAAGACATTTGCTTGGAGCAGTACTCTTCTCATAACAACACAGGAGAGATGCCGTATAAATGCATGGAATGTGGAAAGTGCTCATGTGTGGTAATCTTCTCATAAAAGGATCCATGCTTGGGAGAAACTGTATAGCAATAACAATTCTATTTAGACTTATATACCACTCCACAATGCTTCACTGCACTCTCTGAGCAGTTTATAAAGTCAGCATATGGTCTCCAACAATCTGGACCCTCATTTTACTGACATCAGAAAGATGAAAGGCTGAATCAACCATGACCTAGTCAGGATCAAGCTCCTGGCTGTGGCCAATTAGTATGTAGTACTAATGTAGTACTGCATTCTAACCACTGCTCCACCATATCTCTCTTTTATGTGTATGCACATTGTGCCTTTCTGATCCAAATGAGACAAGGTTGAATCCAACAAAATAAAATTTAATGTGGAGAAAAGTAAGATTTTACACTTGTGCAGGAAAAACCGATTACATGAAACCTGGCTCAAAAACAGTAACTGTGAGACTTCTGGCTGTATTCTGGTGCCATTGGGAGCAAGGACCGTGAGCTCCACCACCCTGTTCCAAGTTCACCCCATTGGAGGGCTCCTATTGTAGCCATAGCCACCCTGGAGTGGTGGTGAAGTAAAGCAGGACCACCTGGTAGGTCGAGGAGAGCTGCATCTCCCCCCTGACCTGAAAAACCCCCTCATCCAAAGAAGAGGTGCAGCGGCAACTAAAATGGCTGCCACAAAGCCAGAAGACAGTCTGAAAAACTAGGACAGTCAGGAGTGGAGAGATGGTGAATGGTGTGTTAACTGGGTGAGAGAATATTTTTGAACTTTTAAGTGTAATCCTGACAGGAATATTCAGAAAAGTGGACCTATAACTATTTTTAAAGTGGCAACGGCCTAACACTGGAGTAGAATTTTAAGAAGTAAAGCAAAGTAAAGGAAGATTAAAAGGAATCTTTTAAAAATATAGGAAATTGAATTTTGAATTTTTTGATTGGATAGACCTCAGCTTTGGATAGAAATTTTTAAAATTCTATAATCTATTAAAAAAAACCAAAATAACATTTCTTTTTGGAAATATTAGTAAAGTTTGATGAGAAAGATGAAAAAGCAACAATAAAAAGTGAAAACTGATTTTAAGAGTGCCACCTGCTATGAAAAACGGAGACACTGCAGATTCCCAAAGTTTTGATAACATTTGGTTTAAGAAGAATTATAAGTGGAAAATAAGAGAACTTTATCATTAGAGAACCCCTGAAAGCTATAATATAAGATTCAACTGGTGGAGGAACTTTATAAAGGTTTTACTCTTGGACTATTTAAAAGGACAGATTGATTAATTCTGGGATATAAAGATTCCTGGGTGTTGGATTTGCATCTGAAATGTGACTTTGGTTTGAATAAAGGATTGTTGGACGATTGGACAAAAAGAAGTAAAATAATTAAAAGCAAATAAATAAAATAAGTAGACTACAACCTATTTCTTGGTAAGCTAGAAAAAAGTGGGATAGATAGCACCACCAGCAGATGGATTCGCAACTGGTTGACAAACCATCCTGAATGAGTAGTCCTTAATGGGTTAAGTCTACATGAAGGGAAGTAAGCTCTGGGGTGCCACAAGGTTCTGTCTTAGGCCTAGTACTCTTCAATATCTTCATTAACGACTTAGATGAAGGAATAGAAGGGGAACTTACCAAATTTGCACATGATGCTAAGCTGGCAAGAATAGCTAGCACCCAAGAAGATAGGCTCAAGATCCAGATGAATCTTGACAGACTAGAACGCTGGTGCCTGTCTAACAAAATGAAATTCAGTGTAGAGAAAAGTAAAGTCCAGCACTTGGGCAAGAAAAACCAAAGGTACACAAATAGATTGTGTGAAACCAGGCTCAATAGCAGTAACTGTGAGAGGGATCTTGGAATCTTAGTGGATAACCAGCTAAATTTGAGCCAGCAATGTGCAGCGGCAGCCAAAAAAGTGAATGCAATCCTAAATTGGATCAACAGAGGGATACAATTAAGATCAAGGTACTAATATCACTCTATAAAGCCTTAGTAAAACCACACCTAGAGTATTGCATTCAGTTTTGGTCACCACACTATAAAAAAGATGTTGAGACTCTAGAAAAAGTACAGAGAAGAGCAACCAGGATGATTAAGTGACTGGAGACTAAAACATGAGCCCAGAAGGAGCTGGGCTTGGCTAGTCTAGTAAAGAGAAGGACCAGGGGAGATATGATAGCGGTCTTCCAATATTTGAGGAGCTGCCATAGGGAGGAAGGGGTCAATCTATTTTCTAAAGGTCCTGTAGGCCAGACAAGGAATACTGGATGGAAACTGAACACGGAGAGATTTAATCGGGAAATGAGGAGAAACTTTCTGACAGTGAGAACAATCAACCAATGGAACACCTTTGCCCTCAGAAGTTGTGGGTGGATCATCACTTGAGACTTTCAAGAAGAGATTGGACTGCCATTTGTCAGAAATGGTGTAGGGTCTCCTGCTTGGGCAAGGGGGTTGGACTAGATGACCTACAAAGTCCTTTCCGATTATCTGATCTGATCTGATCTGAAATACATAGCATGAAAGTAGATCTGGAAATGGAGATGCAAAAGACAGAAAGAAAGCAGGAGTTCAGGAAGAGGAGGAGCCAATTGGAAGGGTAGCCAGAAAGACGGAAGAGATGAAACAACAAACAAAAAAGAAATGATAAAAACGAGAAAAAAATAAAAATGACAATGATTGATGTAATAAACCAAGAGGAGAGTACTTTAAGGGAAGTTAAACAGGAATTGGAATTGCAGGGAGAATTTTCTGGGAGAAAGGGGTAAGAGTAGAGAATTTGAAAATGAGACAATGGAATATAGTAGAGAAGGGAGGAATATTCCAGAGGAATGGTCACGAAATGATAGAGATGAAAATTTAAGAGAGGAACATGGGAGACAAGCTAAGAAACAACTAACTAAAACATTAATGCAAGTGAGAGATGATGGTTAAAAGGGGAGGAAGGATTATGATTCCACATAAATGTGTATATTATTAATTAAGATATACAAGTGTTAAATGTAATAAATATGAATATTAACATTCTACTGTAGGAAAAGGAATGGTATGTGGAATCTGACATAAAGTACTATAGAACAATATAGCACAAGATAATGAAAGATTACAATTTAATAAAAGCAATCATTATTAGCAGAATTGTTTAAGAAACGATTAAATAAAGCACCAATGCAAGTGAGAGTTGATGTTTAAAAGGGGAAAAAAAGATTATGATTCCAGATAAATGTGTGTACTATTAGTCAAGATATACAACTTTTAAATATAATAAATATGTAATAAATATTAATATTAATATTCTATGGTAGAAGTAGGAATAGTACGTGAGATCTGATTGCCATTAAACTATTATAGCACAATATAGAATAAGATAATGAAAAATTACAATTTAACTAAAAGCAATTATATTATTAGTAGAATTGTACAATTTGTTGAATGTAAATATGATGAATACTATTTGATCTGTATTAAAATGTAACATAATAGTGGCACAATTAAAAAATAATAAGGGGCTAAACAATGCAAAAATATAAATCAATATGAATTTGTGAATTGTTATTAGAATTATATAATTTGTTAAACACTGCAAATATTATTAATATAGTATCTGTAGTTTAAGGAACAATGCTAAGAATATAGAGATTGATACAAAAATAACATACTGTAATATAGAATAATTAAGATTGATAAATTAACATGCGTATTAATGTCAAATTTCATAGGAATGTCAACTGTATTAATACTGAAAACTATTGTCATATTTTTTTTAAAATGTAAGACACTCCAGAACAACACTATTCAAACAAAGATATGTTTATTGAAACAAAAACAAAAAATGTATTGAAAAAAGAAACATCAACTGTGAGAGAGATCTTGGAGTCCAAATGGATGATCATTTAAACATGAGTCACCTGTGTGCGGCTGCAACCCAAAAAACCTAATACAATCCTTGGTTGTTTAAACTGAGGCATAGAATCAAAATCATGTGAAGTACTAGTACCCCTTTATAAAGCATCAGTAAGGCCTCACCTGGAATACTGCATCCAGTTTTGGTCATCACATTACAAAAAAGATGGTGCGACTTTGGAAAAAATTCAAAAAAGAGCAGATAAAGGCCTGAAGATTAAAACATGAAGACAGTTGCAGGATTTCAGTTTGCTAGTCTAGAGAATGGAAGGATTAGGAGTGACATGATAGCAGTATTCCAGTATTTGAGAGTCTGCCACAAAGAGGAAGGGGTCAAATTATTTTCCAAAGCACCAGAGGGCAGGACAAGAAATAATGGATGTAAACTAATCAAGGAGAGAAACAACTGGAATTAACAAGAATCTTCCGTACAATGAGGATAATTAACTTATCAATATCTTTTTAGGTGAGGTCTCCAGAACTGGACACAGTATTCCAAATAGGATCTGACTAAAGCCCTATGTAGCGAGTTAAGATGACTTTTTTCCTGATGATGATACATCTGTTGATGCATCCCAGAATTTTGTTTGCCTTCACAGATGCCTGGACACACTGTTTACTCATTTTGCAGTTATCATTTTCTCAGTGCTATGGTAACTTTGTCCATATGGTTGTGTGAAAAAAGCACTGCTAGAACTCATGTACTCAAAGGCCAAATTGTGGAAATATGCATACCTTTGTGCAGGTGGGTCCAAGCCCAGCGACCGCCAGGCTGAAGCTCCAAGCAGCACGCGGAGACACGCAATCAGGCCTTCCAGATGCACTGGGCTGCTGTGCAGCCACCTGCTCCATCCCAGCTGTGGTGGCGTTGCGTTGAGGCAGCCCTGACAGTTAACCGCTACACTGCAGCAGCTACGCACTTGGCTCCTTCCCTCAAACCTCATCCTCCAGTGAGCCTGCTGCCTGACCCCTCCCACCCCAACAGCCCCGGCAATGGGAAGGGCGGGAAGCAGATAACAGATAATCAGAGTTAGAAGGGACCTTGTAGGTCATCTAGTTCAACCCCGCCACCCAAGCGGGAGAACCTACACCATTTCTGACAAATGGCAGTCCAATCTCTTCTTGAAAGTTTCAAATGATGGCGCGCCCAGAACTTCTGAGGGCAACTTCTGTTCCATTGGTTGATTGTTCTCACTGTAAGAAAGTTTCTCCTTATTTCCCAGTAAAATCTCTCCTTGTTCAATTTCCATCCATTATTCCTTGTCTGGCCTACAGGTGCTTTAGAAAGTAGCTTGACCCCTTCCTCTCTGGCAGCCCCTCAAATACTGGAAGACTGCTTTCATGTCTCCTCTGGTCCTTCTCTTCACTAAATTAGCCATGCCCAATTCCTTTAACAGTTCTTCATATGTTTTAATCTCCAGTCCCCTAATCATCCTGGTTGCTCTTCTCTGTACTTTTTCTAGAGTCTCAACACCTTTCTTATAATGTGGTGACCAAAACTGGATGCAGTACTCTAGAAAACTCATTGGAGGATGATGTTTGAAGGAGGGGGACGAGTGTGCAGGAGCTGCAGTCTGGCAGTGACCAGCTAGGCTGCCTCAACACAACCCCACAATCTATCTGCCTGCCGCCGCTCCACAGTGAAGAGAAGGATCAGGAGAGACTGTTCCAATATTTGAGGGGCTGCCACAGAGAGGAGGGGGTCAACCTAATGTGAAATTAAGAAGTACTTTAAAAACCTACTTCAGTCCTTCCTGATGAAACAGGCAGAAATATGAATAGGAACTTTGGGATGTGGAGATACCAAAACTAATCCAACCTGCCAATAAAGGAGAAAATGTGTAGCTCACTGTTGAAATTAGGGGGTCCTTGGTGCTCTCTGAGCTTGATTGTTTTGTAGCAGACATTTCATTAGCCAAACTAGGGAACATCATCAGTGTACCAACCAACATCAGAGGCATCAAAGAGCCTTCAATCTAACTTGCGTCTGCTGTGTCAAATTAAGATCTGAGTCAACCAGTTTGAATGCAGAAGCAGGGAACCTTTTTCAGTCAAAGACTTCTTTCGATGTGATAAAATAATGACAGATATCAGGGTAGAGTGTTTGCGAAAAGCTTCAGGCTGAAAACAATTCATTTTTCAAACAAGGGGCCAGAATGAACAGAAGCTGAAACAAATTCACGGGAAAAAATATTTGTCAAGCATTAGGGCAATATAGTTAGGATAAGCACTCCAGGGATGCATGGGAGACATCTGGTTTGCAAGGGTTGCAATCAATGTTTTGCAAGCCGATAGGCCAATTTCCTTCAGGAGGATCTGTGCCTCAGCTGTTCCTTTAGGTGCACTTGCCACCATGGTACTTATCATGCCCCTCCAGCTTGCTGTCTAGCACCCCAGCCTTAGAGCCTTTTCCCTTTACAAGCAGGTTTAGGAGAAGTAGAAATTTGCCTGGTTTTTACTTCAAAGCTATGACACCCT